TTTCTCATTCCGATGATGGTTTTGGGTAACGCTTATAATTGTCTGCCAATGACTGTGTATATTTTGGCAATAACAAATCATACTCAAGTTTGTTTCCCTGCCAAAAATTTCCTTAGTACCACTTTTGGAGCAGTGGTGGGATGGACTGCAACCTTTTTCAGGCCATCATGGCATTTATGCTTTTGGTTTCCCTGTTGCTGCACAATGTGGTTTTATTTATGAAATACATTTTGCCATTTACCATTTCAAGTACTAAAAGCCATCACATTCCTCTGCTTCTCCTGCTGCCCCCCTTAGCAAGCACTGGTTGCTCTTTAGTCCTGTTAGGCAGTTCTTGTCTCTGTGCAGCTCTCCTGACAATGCCAGGAGAACCTTAATTCCTGTAGTAAAATGAAGTCTAATCTGGAAACCAGATCACCAGACAGTGCAGGTATCTCTGTCTTGGCTTTGTGTTCAGTGTTGTAGTTCATTTGGTTATTAGAGTTGATGCTGCTCCTTATTTAGCAGTTTTCTCAGTTGTTTGGAGTGTCTGCAGATATTAGATTACAGCTACTAAATTCAGCAAGCTGCCGGCCACAGGAGAGCTGGACCCACTTTGCTCAGTATCACAAGTGTGCAGATGGGTGGCAGCTACCTTTTGCAGTCTTTCTTTGCACAGCAGTTCCTTTCTGAGGTTTAGCCTACCATATGTGACATTCAGTACTTGCTTCTTCAAGCTCTACCTTTCATTAATTTTATTTAATTGCTTTTTTATCTTTTCTTGAGAAAATTTACTTCTGTTTGCCCTCTTTGACATTTTTTATGTTTTGTTGCCTGCTCCTAGTTTGTTTTTCTTCTGCCATTAAGTGTCCTAATGACCATTTGTCTTCTCTATGAAACCAGTAGTGTTAGTAACTCCCTCAAATGTACAAACTAGGGAATAGTAAGTGAAAGATGAATGTGGCTTTTACAGTAGGATTTAAGAGCATATGGTGGCTGAGTTTCTGCTAGCATCCCCTTTGATCCTTAGAGAAAAGAAAACTGTATGAAGTCAGCACAAGCACCTATGAATGTAACTTTGCCTCTGTTTCCTTCCCCAAACAGCTTTTGCTGGGAAGACTGCTTTAAGGTGCTATGGGAAAGCAGCTTGAGCGTATCAGACCTCTGCCAGGCCAAAGCCATCTATGTCATGATTTTAACAGCACCAACAAAACCCAAACCAAACAATATTTTTAAAAAAATAAATAAGAAAAAAGAAAAGGAAAATAGAAAAGAAACCCATAAAAAAACCCTTCAGCTGGAGGGCGGAGGGGAAGGGAGAGATAGGATGCTATCTGAGTATGTGGGACAGCAAGGCAGGAGGTGAGCACGCAGGGAGGTAGCAGGGAAGTGAAAGGAGCACAAAACTAGAGTTTGGGCTGGCAGTGTGGAGGTAGAAGGAGAGGGTTTGGGGTGACAAGATGTTTGGTAACTTGTGCCCTGCTCCATAAAGATTGCAATGGAAATCCTGATCCCAGCAAGAATAGGAGAAAAAAGGGAAGACAAGGAAACTGCTTGACTCAGGGAAAGAGGAGGAGCCAGCAGTGTGGTTACAGTGAACAATTCTGGTGCTGCTGAGAAGTTGTTGCAGGGGTGACCTCCACCCAAGACTTCTCAGTGAAATATTTGTGTATAGTTTCCCTAGCCTCTTGCAAGGGAGGATGTTGGTGGATTCCTGACTGTTTGGGAAAGGGTGAGAGTTGAGAAAGTAAGAGGATTCCCTTTTCTGACTTTTTTTTTTTTAATCTTAAAATTAACTTGGCAACACTGTAAATCTCCCTTGGGAAAGCGGCCCATCTCCTGGAGGATTGCTCCCACTGCTTCCAGCTTCTTCCAAAAGAGTCTTGACAACTAAAAAGCAAAGAACATCAAGGGCTTTCTGAGCCTGTTAAGATTTATGGGTTCGTTTTCAACTTGGCAGTGAGAGCTGGCCTTAAATGCATCTCAGCAGAGATACCAAATAGCAACAGTCTCCTACCCTGTCTGTATAAGAGCTGCCACCTCCTTTCTGGAGCTGACAAAGGCAAAAAGAAATCCTCCTGCTTTTGAAAGTGCAAAGGGCGCTGGAGCATGAGCCCCATGTGCTTGTGCTGTGCTGAAATAACGAAAGGGTCTGTGCTTTCTGTGGGCTTCTGGCCAGCGGCAGAGCTCCTCTCAAACAGGCAGTGACACAGCACTGCTGCTGAGCTGCCCTTCAAACAAAATCTCCATGAGAAAAAACCCTCTGGTGAGCACAAGAGCCAAGAGAAATCAATTTCTGTTTAGCACCAAAGTCTGATTTATATTCTCAGACACTTTCTCAGCAGAATGTACATTCTATGTACTTTACTAAAAGATTCCTCAGTAAATAAGACAGAAGTGAAAGAAAAATAAGTTCTTGAACATTGAGAGAGGCTTTTGAACAACCACCAAATTCCTGTGCATCCTCAAAGGAAAAGGAGAAAAGCTTATGCACGTCTCCAGCAAGCTGAGGGCACCATATAGAGGCAGTGTGCCAATTTTCCTGTAGATTTTTAAATGCTTTCTGTGTCAGAAGATATATGTACATTCCAGACGTGAAAATAAATGTTGACATGTAACAGTTATATCCTGGTCTGTTGCTGTGGTATATTTTCTGAATGCTGTCATTTGGGACTTGCTTTGTTTGAGTAGGTGAAAGGTATTTTTCCACTCTGTAAGTGTATGTATATGTACAGCAGTAGTTGAGAAAGACTTGGTACAGGTTGCAAGGCAAGCTGATGTGCCCGGCCCTGCATAGGCACAATGTAGGCATTTAATCCATGAAATATCTCAAGTTGCTTCTGTGTAGGTGAAATGCATTGTGTATCACAGTGCAAATAACCATGACTGTAGAACTCAAGTACTTTTCAAAGCACTTCGTGGGGAATTTATTCCATAGGGTTTTTTCAATACAATTTCTAATCTTTATGTAATATGCAGCGGATAAGTTTATAAGCCATTCTGACAATCCATATGACAAATGGAAAAAACTGTCAAGTTCTGTGAAGATAAATCATATCTCCAAACTCCAAATTATAATTTCTTGGAGCCAACCACATTGGCAAAAGAAATTGAACAGATACAGTATATTATTTCCTGAGGATTCTTTAAACACCACCACCAAAAAAAAGAGCTGGTGGTGGTTTCCAGAGGGAAAACCGCTTTCAAAAAATGCATTGTGTGATAATGTCACTACATGTAAATTACTACTCCCTTTTCAAAAGCAAGAGAATTCCAACTTCTCAGTGATGACCATGTTTAATTCCTGCCTGGAACCAACAATACTGATTGCACTTCAGAGAAATTAAATACTGCAGGGTCAGAGAGTTTGAAAATCCCACCTGAATGATGAAGCATCAGTGCTAAGAGGATTGGAAAACAAACAAAACCAAACACCAAACAAAACCAAGAAAACATCCAGACAAACCCCAGAAAATAAGGAAGACATTATCCAGAACAAAGTGTTATAGATGAATGTTCTATAATGTGTTAAAGCATTTTTAAAACATGTCATACTGACATACTTAAACTTTGGTATAATGCCAAAAACCCTCAGGGTCAACCTTAGTATTTGAATTATAACCTGAAGAATTCAGTGGAATAATACAGAAATTAGCAGCTTTACAGCTTACTGAAAATCAAACATGTCCCAACAGGACATATTTTAAATATTTGTGATCATAAATTATCTGTATAATTGCATTATGGGGCCACATTTAGGAATAAAGGGTTAAGTCAACAATAGTTTTCTTATTCAATACAAGAGACACTTTAAGGCTTTTTTTCTTCTTTTTCTCCTCTTGGCATCATTTGGATTTCTGAATTTTTTTAATTACCAACCCTTAGCCCTCAGTCCACATCAGGAGTTACACTGAAGATGACTTCCTTGAGTTGACTTATGTTGTGCGTGGTACCTGAGAAATGTACCTGCAGCTCCCTTCAAGGGCTCTGGTGTAGCTCCACCACCTCTGCTAGTGATTCTGTGTGTTCTCAGCATTGCTTAATAAACATGAAATATGTCTTTGAAAGCTCACTTATATCAGGCTGGGCTTGTATCGGCTAATAACACAGACCCAAAGATGCCTTCTAGCAGAGAGCACAGCCCTATGTTAGGGGAAAATGGCCAAATAGTTTTCTATGCTAGCTGAGCAAGTAGTCATGGGGAGGTCATGGGGGAGCCTGTTACTGAGGACAGTGGAAGTTGAACAATAGGTTGGGACTTCAAAAACATACCTTATGTTTCAGGGCGTTAATGAAACTCTATGCCATCCTGAATCCAGTCACCAGTGAGGTTCAAATGCTGACAGCCCAGTTACCCCAAGCCGTGCTGTTCCCTTTCCTGGGAGGTGGAATGCGATCCCACTACAGTGGACGACAGCCTTTGCCTTGACTTGATGTCCTGTGCAACATAACTGGTTGATACTTGTATTCCTGGAACAGGTGCAACCCTTGCCATAACACACTTCAATAACAAGCCTCAGAATAGCATCTTTTTGCCCTAGGACTTGTGCTTATTGGGAAAGGTTTGCTCTGGAGATTTCACAGGTTTCTGTGTCTTTGAATCAGTAAAGCCAAACAAGCAATATGATAGAATCATAGAATGGTTTGGGTTGGAAGTGACCTTAAAGATCATGTAATTCCAATCCCCTTGCCATGGACAGGAATACCTTCCACTAGAGCAGGTTGCTCAGAACCCCATCCAACATGGGCCTTGAGCACGGCCAGGGTTGGAGAATCCACCACTTCTCTGGGAAACCTGTTCCAATGCCTCACCACCCTCACAGAAAAGAATTTCTTCCTCACATCTAAACATACCCTCTTTCAGTTTGAAGCCATTCCCCCTTGTCCTATCACTACAGTTCCTGATGAAGAGTCTCTCTGGCTTCCTTCTAGACCCCCTTCAGATACTGGAAGGTGCTATGAGGTCTCTAAGCAATCTTCTCTTCTCCAGGCTGAACAGCCCCAACTTTCTCAGCCCGTCTTCATAGGGGAGGAGCTCCAGTCCCCTTATCCTTGATATCAGGGTACAAAGTCATGACCTGGTTCATCTCGCTGTAAGGAAAAAGGGAGCACAGCTCCCTGTATATGTTTACTTGCTGGGCAGAGGATGGCCTTTCAGCTGGGGCGCGCCAGTAGTCACTGTAAGAAGTACTGGGGTAAGCACGGGCTTTCTGGAAGAAGCTCGGTCTGTGGCTGGAGTCTAACAGGAAGGGCTGCCGTGGGGGCTGGCTGGGGGAACAGTGCTGCTGCTGCTGCAGCTGGTGCTCACTGTACAAGTGAAGCATGTCAGGGGGAAGAACTGTGGACTGCAGCAAAACATGCTGCTGAGTCCCCAGGGTCTGTTTGTGCTGAGCACCATCGGGGACGTAGCAGCTCCTCTGCCCCGTTCTGTGCATGCCGCAGCACTCATGAGGCCAGCTGTGCTCTGGGCACATCCCGCCTCGCGCAGCGGGGAGCACTGTTTGCTGGAAAGGGCGCCCCAGTGAGGTGTGGTCCAAGCTATGAGGGTGGCGAAGTGAGAACAGCTTGTGCCTGAGGTCACCGCAGTGATGAGGGTTGTCCATCACCTCCCTGTCCTGAGAGGTTTGTATGGACCAGTTATAGCTGTAGGTGCCATCACCAATGGACATGGCTGACATCTGCTCCAGGAGCGGCTGGTCTCGCTCTGGCTGTGGCAAGCACTGGTCCAGCCCCAGGTCAGAGCTGGGACCACCAGCCCAGGCACTGGATATCTGCTCAGGACAGCTCCTCTGGGAACTCCCTGAGTAGGAGGAAGGCCCTGCACCGCCTCTGGCTTCTTGCAGAGTTTCTGTGCAGGCTTCACAGGGTGCAGGCTCTCCTCTGGTCTTGTACAGTGAGCAGTTACATCTCTCCTCCTCTTTCCCCAGGGTTAACAGGACCTTTGTTTTGGCCCTGAGCTCATCAGCAACTGAAAGCTGAGCTTGACGTAGTCTCTCTGGATGGTAAAATTTGCATTTATTGCCATAGGTGCATTTTTTACCTGAAAGAGTCAAAAATATCAGGCAGAAGGTTGTCACTAGCACCAACATCAATTAACACACTCATCACTTCTCCCCAGCACCAGGCATTTGCATGGGTGTGATGAGAACAAACAGGGAAAAGAGGAACTGCTATTTTCGGATTTGGTACTGTTGACCTCAGATTTAAATAATGCTGACATAAATAACAGGGTGAAGCAACAGTGAAAGGAAGTTTCTGCTATTTTGGAAGTGTCTGATATTCATTTATGTTTTGGTTCCTGCACTCAGTGGGTTGGGACGTCTGCTGCTACAAAGGGTTGCTTTAAGAAATGGCATAGGGGTTTACCTCTGAGAAACCTGCACATTGCTGGAGAGGTGTTGGGAGGGGAAAGGGGGAAAGTGTTTGGATGGATTTTCCCAAGTGCTACAGCACAAGTTCACTTCACAAAGTGAGAAATGTGTGCAGGCAAGGTGGTCAACACAGCCATGGTGCCCAGTTTGGGTGCTGTGTGCAGGCAGGGATGGAGGAGCCAGAAATAGCTGCTGCCTTGGCTGAGGTTGAAGCTACTTAAGCAGGAGAGGAAAAAAGCGTCACACTTTAGAGCAGCCCCAACCTAAGTCCCTACCACACAAAGCAGGACAGCACATGGCAACGTCACTTGCCCTTAAACGAAGGGAAGCACCACTGGGATGTAAGGGGCAGGAGGAAGAGGAGGGGCAGTTCATAGCATAAGAAGAAACCCACCATAGGGGCAAGGCTGCAATTTTTTTTCAGGAAGCACTGGCTTTTTGCTGAGGAAGTTATCAAGAGTAGGTCCATGCCGGCCTAACGGATCATCAGGAGGCATAAACCTGGAAAAGTAAGAAAAGTCACGGATATAAGCACTTGTCCATGCACACTGGATGTCTCAATGATGTGCATTTCCCCAGAACACCTGAGCTCAGCTCAGCCTCGCAGACATGGTGCAAGTGCCTTATTGAAAACCTTCCCCAATGGGGATGGTGAAGGGTCAGAGAGACCAGCTTCCTGTCTCTTCTGTTCTAGAAAGTTATGATTACAAAAGCACAGGAAAAAGCACTGTTCTGTCTTGTAGGAGAATTAAAAATACTGCCAGCCGGGTTTCTCTCATGGATTTAATTCTCTTTCTTTTAAGAAACAGAAATTAGAAGATACCAAGCTGTGGTTTAACATCCCAGCTTGAATTGGAAAGAAGCAATGCTGTCATTCAAATAGAAAAGTTCACAGAAGAGTGACATAGGAGAGTTTAACACCAAGTAGTAGACTACTCCTGAGGGAGTAGGAACTCAAGAAACAAGATAAGAGAAGTTGCAGTAAATTCCTCTCAGAAAAAGGCTCATGTATTCTGCTCCTGGTGGGTCATGCATTGATGTTGGAGCTGACTTGGCCCATAATGTTTAAATTCTAGATTGTATAACACAAACTGTCTCTTACCTGTTACTGACAAAAGAGTACATGAGTAGTCGCTGCTCAATAAACCATTTCCATTCAGGGTTTTCATTTTGGAGATCCCGGTAGTGGTCATTGGAAACAATGACTCCATCTTTTTCATAAGCAACTTTCACTATATAACGATCATCGTAGCAAACTACTCTCTTGCCTTTCACCTTCCGAGACGGTGTGTAGACAAGGATCGATTGCTTTTCAAGCTCTTCAAGAATGTGCTGATCTGATTGGGTGGTTAGCAGAAATGGATAGGATGAGGGGGGGGAGGAAAGAAAAGAAAGAAACTAACTAATTAAAAATGACCAGGTCTCAATCATCTGCTAGATGTTTCAGCAATTTAGGCAACTTACAGCGCTGTGATTTTCAGATGCACTGATATCTGGTATTTGGCAACTTGTAAAATTTGAGACACCTTTTTTTTATTTTTAAGTCTTACCTAAAAGGATGCCTTGAATTCTACACCAGAGGCATACTGAACCCTTGTAGTGCCCTTTTTACCCTGCTAGATCTAGAAGGCTCGTAACCAGCCCTGGTGTGAGCTTTGTTTGGAGATAAAATGTGTGTGATAAAACAAAGAAATAAACTTCTTTTGCTGCTATTTAGAACACTGACTTCTTAACATTCCTGGTCTGCAAAAAGGCAGATCCCCAGATGCTTCATCTGCAGACACCAAACTGCTGGCACAAATCCTGCAGATTTATTCCCATACAAACTGAGTCTCACTCCCCTCCATAGACTTTTGCTGATACACTTCCTTCATCCTGAAGAGGAACCCTCTTCCGTGAGGGTTCCATGTACCTTCTGTATCGGGTAACAGGCTAACAGATAATAGTCATGCAGTAATGAATGTCGCTGACTCCTGGCTGGACTTAAAAGCTCTGTAGACTCACTGTGAGCTGGAAAACTGCTTCTTTAACTCCGCTGGCAACAACTTGTGCTTGTAAAGCAGAAGGTTCAAAGCAGTGTAACAAATCCTTGTAAGTAACTAGCTACTAGCCAGGAGCAGTGAATGGGGCAATGAATTAATGGCTAATTTGAATGGTGGGAAGCCTGATACGCACCTTGCGCCATGCTTGTCTTTGCAGGGCAAAACTGTACTGGGTTCTTCACACCCCCTCTGTCTCTAAACTGCAAACTATACCCAGGATGGTCACCTACCTGCAATGGGACTGTCTTGTCGAGGGGGCTCCTTTCTCCAGAGTGGTACAAAGACCTTGATGTATGTGTGCCCCCTCTCTCGAAACCAATCCACCGCCAGCTGGATCCCCCAGCAGGAGAATACCTCTTTGTTTCCATGGCTATAAAAAAAAGGAGGATGATGAGACAAAGCTTTTATGAAGCTTAGAGTTCTCTTTAACCAAGCCAGTAAAGGCTAGAAAAGGAAAAATAAACAACTTTTGTGTCATTCACCAGTTTCCAAGAAAACAACCTGGCAGGGTGTCCTGGTTAAACAGATCCAAACACCTCTTCAGAAGCAGAACCAAAAAAATTTATCTGAAGCAGTTTGGATGCTTAAAAACAGAGATATCCTATTGTCCATTTTTATGACCCAAGCCTGTTCCTTCCATCTATATCTGCATCTGGGTGCACTTGGGTCCTAAAGTACCAGCAAGTTATTAGGTCCAGTCTTTACATGCCTTGTCTGATAAGGGTTTTTGAGGAGTGAGAGTTTCTTCCAGCACCAGCAGAAATCCATTAGGCTCTCCAGTGAGAAACAAAGTGTGGCAATAGTACCATTAATGGCTGAAGCGGCTGCAAGTGTGATCACAGGGCATTCAACTGCTGATCTCCTTCGGAAACAAAAGACAAACTATGGGGGAAGAAAAACTGCAAGAGGTAGGACAGAAAATATAGAGAACCTAACCCAGGACACCAAAAATGGGACAAGACATCAGTGGAGATGACCACAGGCACCTCATAAACACTTTTATCTTGCCCTAGTTGGTGGATTTTGTCTTCATTGCACAGAGAGGTAGGAAAGCCCTAGAACAAGTGTTGTCAAGGATGCCAGCAAGAAGAATTATCTGAAGAATTATCAATATTCAGCATAAGACAGAAAGGATATCACCTCTAATTGTTTTTCTTGAGGTTGTTTTCTAAGTTTCTCCCCCTTCCTGAAAGTTCATACTGCTTGGCATTCACTTATCTAAAATTCAACTACAATGCAGTGCATGTGTAAAGGAAGGTAATTTGTTAACTACCTCTGCACGAGGAAACTAAAATGAACTCTACACAAAGTCCTAAATGAATAAACGCCCTCACAGTATGTACAGAAACCTCATCCTTGTACTTTGACCTTTCTGGATAATATCACCACAGTCTCACTCAGGCTTTCACCTCTGGAAAATGGACTTGTAAATTACTCTCTCAATTACTACACCTACCTACAGTGACAGAGCAGTCAAGGACGATGCTGCAGTCTTAAATGACTCTCCCATCACCATCCCCTGGGGATTCATCTCTAGGTACTGCCTACTTCAGCCTCATAACCAAAGCTCCATTTTACACCCAATAAAAGTTTCCATCCTGAAATGGTGACCACAAATGAAAAATAGCACAATTAATAGGTACCTATTAATAGATACCAAGGCAATAGGAAGCCTTACAAAAACCCCAGCAATAATAAATGGTCTGAAGTGTTCGACACATCGAGAACAGCTGTTTTGTTTTAAACAAACAGCAGTTTGTTTTAAATGATAGGGTCTACCCAGGATACACATAACATCACCTGGACAGGTGAATTGGAAGTTTGGGTGGCTTTTTCAGATAACTGCCTTTAAAAGACACTCTAGGTACATCTTTGATGCCACGACTCAAAGAATGTTCAGCAACAGCCTTCTTTAACATTGACTGCTTATATATATAATCCTGCGAGCTTCAGGAAAGCTGGTCTAGATATACCCCAGTGCAGAAGGGGTACTCAAGCACAAGTGAGTCGGCCAAAACGCCAAGCAGAACAAGCAAATGAGGCACCTGGAACTGTTTCTCAGCATTATCACTTAATCCATTTCCTGCTACATTGCTACAGCCAAACCTGGGGACCGTGTACCTAAACCAGTACGTCCATGTGTGGTGTGCTGCACTGTCCACACGATGCCAGCATCTGCTGTGCAGCAGAGCAGGGGACTCAGAGCTCTACATTCTCCCTGTGTGGTCACAGATCAGCTCCTGTCAGTCAGTTATGTCCAGTCTGTGGACCATAACTGACCTGCCAGCAACAGGTTACATTGCACTTGAGTCACAGACCAGCATGGCCCATTTCTCAGAAAATGAAGCAGCAATTTAGCATCAGTAGCATGCCATCATTAGCATGCAGTAAGTCTTTTTTAAACAGTGCAATTCCAACTCCTTTGAGAGGAAGTTTAAGCAAAACAACTCCTTTTGAAAATTGCAAATGGCCCCATCTCCACTCGTTCGTGGCACAGACTCTGCCAAAGCTTTGTCAGAAAGGGGAGAGCCTAGTGCAGGGCTGCAGTGGCCTAGGAAAGGGCCTTTGTACCTATCACAGCTTTTAAACTAGGTGGAAGTGCAAGCACTAGAGTAGATAGCCTCTTTGGTGTGCAGTGAATAGGGTTATGACAGTTCCCTTTTCATATTAACACAACTCCATTTATTTTTCCCACTAGCTGTCCTAATTGTCCTGCTCACTTCCAATGGATAGGCTGGCAGGCAGCTAAGTTTCTCATTACATCTGATGGAAACACAAAGTGTACTGAGACATTTGATGAGTGAGACTGGCTGAAGGCAAGGTTATTTTCCATTCAGTTTCTATGGGTAAGCTGATTGATGGTTGAAGACTGCCAACTCACTCGCTTTATTACCCTGGGGCATATAAATCCTTTTCAAAACCTTGCAGTCTGCAGTAGGCCCTCAATGCCAACTCTGAAATGCTCCAGAAATACCAACCCTAAGATATACATACAAATGCTTGAGACAGTTTTCCCCACACAGGCAACTGCCTCTTGAAGCTTTAACTTTGATTGTTTCATCCCTAAACTGCTGCTTCTGCTGCACTTTTATGGTTGTTGGTGTTGACGGTGATGCAGTTTTCCCCAGCAATGAGACCTAACATCCTTCTCCCCTAACTTCTGCAGAGTCCTTCTCTGTCTGACAGCAGCAAACCAGAAAAAATTAAAACAAAGATACTGAAAATACACACTAGGCCTATCCCATTAGCCAAAGTAAATGCCATTCAGCACCACTTTGAAAGGCATCCAGGATAGGAAAGCAGCTCCTCTTAGGCTATGCCAGTTCAGTACCAGCTGAACTGACAAGCTCAATAGTCTCTCCCATCATCCAAGTAGTCTTTAATTTTATCAAGACAGAGGTTGGGGTGTTTGAGAAGAGCTGTAAAACCTTTGCTTTTCTGAAACTCAAAACTGCTTCACATTCCTCTAATTCCTTTTAGGTGAAATATTATGACTCCAAATCAGAACATCAGACTTCAATAACCTATCAGGCAAACATCTCTTGGACTCATGCTTTGGAATTTATTCTAGAAAAAAAATTTGAATTTACATGCCACAGGCATGTGTGGTTTCTCAAAACCCATTTTGGTGGGCATGTGGTCTAGGAAAGCCAATACAGCATGCTAGCTCAAACCATCCACTGCACCTGTAATGCTTGGTTTAAATAATCTCTCTCTAGCAAGCTCCCATGCACAGGCTGGCACAAAAGGATGATCTCAGAGCTTTCCCACAGTACTCCAAGCTCAACAAATGCCCTATTTCATCAGCTACCAACCTACTCTGAGCCTCCTGCTCAGTGGCCAGAGTGCATCTTCTGTCATCTTGGAAACAATGCTGTCCTCTGCCTTGTCCACCTCTGCCTGTTCTAAAAAAAGCCCTGGTAAATCATTGAGGATAAGGTTGTGCCAGGAGACTGGAGAACAGAGCACATGACCCCTCAGGGGTAATATTGTCCCTGGCACAATGGAAAGGTGGGTGAGCAGCTCAGCCACACTGCCTGAGTGGGTGATCAGTTCTTCTGCAGAGAAGCAAGAAGGACATCTCAAGAAGGGGCTAGGGTGAAAATGCAAAGTGGGGCAGGAGGTCCAAACACCTGGCTACCTGAGCTCATGGCCCAGACAAGGTCAAGCAGTTTTGCTCTGGTGTGTATTTCCCACTCCTCGTGAGTCACCCTGAGCAAGAAACCCTTGTTTTCAGCAAGAATTTCTGCCTTCACCCAGAAGATGGCATAATTTGCTTAGTCTCCAGTTGCTTTGGATTTGCTTGTCCACTTTGCCCTCTAACCAGAGGGAATGTGGTCTCATCTCACCTCACAGGACAGCAAACCAAAGGAGGAAGTCCTCCTTTGCCCTGTCCCAGCCTGCAGGGACAGGCTTGACCCTGCTGAGCGGACAGGGAAGTTAACAGAGGAAGCAGATGAATAGCCAGTGCATCCTGGAGTCTCTTGCTGTCCATACTGCTTGGGTAAACAGAAGCCAACCCACTGCTGTCTTTGGACATCCCATCCACATGGACATGCCAGGTTCCCCACCAGTAAGACCTCTTCCATAGTGACAGGGCACTGCCTAGGAAATGTAATTGGACAGGATAGGTTGATGTGACATTTCCCAGAAACAGAATTATTAAGGAGGAAGTGAGTCTATTCATTACAGGTCAACTATCAATTCCCTGGCATTTCCATAAAACTGAAGCCAAATCTAAAACCAACAAAAAATATACAACCCAGGAACATTTTTGGGTTTTACTTGCAAGTCAAAACATTACAACTGTGATATTGTTAGGAACCACAGTCACTTGTCTTTATTTCCCCTCTCCTTCTTAGGTTAGTTGAGTGAGTCTGTCTATATGTTCATCAGTTTTTCCTGGAAACTTCTCAGCGTATGGATTCGGAAATCCTAGGCACCCATTTGAAAAGGCAAGGAAATTCAATGGTGAGCTAAAAGGGAGAGATACTGCCACAAACAGTAGTGGCTAGCCAGCTGTTGCCTTATAAAAGGTCAAAAAGTAGAGCAAGCCAGTGATTGCATGCAACATGCTTATTTATGGGCATCAAGATATCAAGAACCTGTGCATCAGCCAAAGAAAAGGAATAAGTGATCGTTCATACATTATACATCAAATACATCAGTGCATCTCTCACCTGAAGAAAAAACATACTTCAATCCATCAGCTTTAAAATTCAAAAGCTTCAGAGGAAGAGAGATCCCTCTGAGGAAATGGAGCTTACCTCATTGCAACATTGCTGCCATCAATCACAATGGGTCTCAAGGAATCGGAAGAATCACTTTCGTCTTCTCCAAGCCACTTCAACCCTGGTGTAGTGCTACATGATCCACGGGCAACAAGTTTTAGTGGGGAAGGCTGAGCCTGGTTCTCCGGAGCTTGAGGTTTACTTCCCATCCGAATCAGTTCTTTCAACACATCATCCTCCAGGGCCTCTGGGCCCAGGTTCTCCAGCACTTTGCAGATGTCCTGCTTACCATAGCCCAGCTTGCAGAAAAGATCCAGCTTGCTCTGATTCACTTCTACTCCTGCTGCAGACACTTTTTTGGAGCGTGGTGGTACCGGTTTGCTAGAAATTGAACCAGCCAGTGCCATCTTAGCAGGCATTTGCATTCCTTTAAACCCAGTGCTCCTGTCTTCCTAGGCTTGTCCAACAGGCATCAGCTTTAGGGAGGGAAAGATTAGAAACAACCAAATACAGGTGTTAAGGAAGAATGTGCAGTAATCTCAGTTGTCTGCCTAGTGCACAGCAAAGAGACCATCACATCATCTATCTTCTCTCTGAGAAGACCGTCCAGTCTTCTCTCAGTATTAAAGCATTTTTCTGGTCCACTCTCACTTATAAAAGCACCAGAGTGTCCCATACAATGTTTGTCACTCTCCAAACATTATGTCAGACAGGTGTCATCTTAATTCATGAGCTATGCCAGCCTGCCTCTACACAGACAGCCTGTATGCGTGAATTGGTTCTTCAGACTTACCTCACAGGAAATGATATCAAGGACGGTGTAACCGGGGGATTTTCAACTTGCTCAGTGTGGTTTGTCAGCCAGAGATAAATATCTGTCAGATGTTATTGGATGGGCTCAGATGCCACAGCAACTTAAGAAGTATAGCACATTTTATCCAGTGATTTAAGGAAACACACTGTTTGCAAGGTGTCTGGGAACTCTGAACATTTTTTATAGTTTTGTCTTTCCTAGCATGTGTTTGTCTCTATGCACACAAGCATACATTATGAAATTCTGTCACTGATAATGCCTGACTTACTCTTTTCCTGTTACTTGCTATTTCAGTGAGGGCTTTTACATTCAGGGAAGCAGCTTGTTTTTTGAAAACTCTCAGGGCAGTGCTTGGAAGCAGCCAATAGGCAATCTGGAAAGCAGTTTCAATTTCACTTATATTTATTATCGAGAGAAACTGGTAATTCAGAAATGAGTGTGCAAAAGTAGCAAAAAGCTACTTCATGCTTCTCCAGAACCGCACTATCTGTGTAAGTTTCTGGTCTACCCAGTGACAGAAGGTGATGGGCAGCATATGCAGGAATAGCCTGAACTGCTTTAGCCCAACAAGGGTGACACAGAAGGACATACACAGTGACCGCTCATCCATCAGGCCAAACATCTTCAGTCACTGTTGGCATACTTGCACTGGAGCTTCTCTTGCTGCATCACTGTAATTATTGGTGCTACCTGGATAAAAGCTGTGGCTGGTTCTTCTACCCACGTTTAGGATGTAAGGGTGACCCTGTTCCCTTTGCTGGTTGCGGTCAGCAAATGATGCAGAATTAACTGACCAAATAATTACCTCAAGGACAAGCCCAGAGCCATAACAACATTGCACCCACTAGCTCCCCTTCTCAGCCTGTCAGCCACTCCCTGCCCAGCAGCAGGCCACCCCAGGAGCTCAGAACCCAAAACCATGTGAAGGAAGGCATGGAGGTACTGGAAACAGGGACCTGAGAGAGGAGTCAGAGTGAAGCTCCTACTGAAGAGCCCCACGGGTCTGTGGGGAAGAAGTCCACATTGTGTTCAGTTAATTTAAAACTGATTAGTTCAGCAGGAAAGCATGATAATTAGTTATAACCCTGCCTCATACAGTTTTGACCTTTACTTTCCTACATAGCTTTATAACCTTCAGGTATTCTGTGGAAGAAATCTGGCAATGTGAAAAATGAGAAACTGCATCAGTAAAATAAAAAATACCTTAACTATGTCATAATCATAAGTGTAAAGCAGTTGCCATGTGTATTTTTCCATCTAAACTAAAGCATTGCTTTTTTTAGTCAGTGACTGTTTTTCCTCACAGTGCACTCCATAAATATAACAATTTTTACATCTAATCCCTGTTTTTAATTCATTGACTAAAGATGAAAATGTAATTGACTGCTTTTTCATTATTGAAATGGTTTCTCAGCTTTGAAATAGCTATTTGCTGAGCTGAAATACATTGATGTACGTAAATATAGCTGAAGCCATCACATATGGGCTAGCACTGAAGCAAAATCTGCTTCCAGGTATGTGGTCAATGGCTCAAAACACTTAATGTGTACTACTTGACACAGACAACACTCAGGTCACCCTTCTAGAGAGGGAATTACAGGACAAAAATATCACTAGCCTACACGTTAGTAAACAGTCAGTAGTGTGCCCAAGTCCAACAGCTCAGTTGGTTGCTTATAACCAGCACAAAAAGAGAAATTTTGCATCACAGACTCTAGCTTTTGCTATCACAGACAAACAGGCTATAAAATCCCATTTATAAACTTTGTGACCTTAGTTTTCAAACTACTTAGATTTCCACCTGCCACTTTCCTCCCTTCATCTCAGCAGATCCCATTGGAAAGCTATTTTTGTTTTCACTCCACTGAAAGCCAAAACCTTCTCATTTCCTGGCTGAATTTATCCACAGGTAATGGTGTGCCCATCCTGTGTTCTGGCTTAAAAAGCACTCCTCTCTGTCTGTTTACCCCTTGTTGTGACCCCAGGTGCACACACACACACACACAAACAGACACACACAGAGGAAATGGCTTCAGTCAGGTATCCAAAATTCTACTTTAATCTTAACATTCTAAAATGTTAACTTGTAAAATCTTAACTATTTTTTAAAAGTACTTTTTATCAAACAAATCAAAAGACCTCTTATGGTCTTCAGTCTTTCTTTTATTTTGACAGATTTTTTAAGATTAGAAAATAATAATTTGAAAAACTTTCCTAAAAAATGGTGATAACTGCTACATCTTGAATGACTGTAAAGAATAATTTTTTCTTATCCTTCCACCAGGTGTTTGCTCTACTTGTGACCAGTCAGAGCAGGAGACCTGGTGCCCTGCAAGTGTGTGTTTAAGCAGCACCTCCAGCAGCCTCGGGCCACAGAACCACAATAAGGACCAGCTTGACTCACAGGGAGCTAGGACTCCTCAAAGCCCCTACCAAAGCCACATCCTGCCTGAGCAGAGGCAGAGGGGACATAGCCCCGGATAGACCTGGCATTGGTCTAGGCAGAGCAGGTTTAGGTCTTCTCTAAAGTAGATGTGTGTGCTGAATAACACAAGGAGCGCAGCAAGAGCTCCCTGCTATGGTAGTGTTCCCGCTCTCACCTTAGGTCTGGACCACCTCTTCTTCCTCCTTCACACCTGAGAATAACGCTGCAAACCACCTAAGACTGACAGCCCATTCAAGCCCTGCAGTATTTCTCTGAAAGGAGATGAGCTGCTCTGCTTTCAGAAAAACAAGAATTTTTACTTTCACAAATTAGAGATGCACATAAACTCTTAATAACAAGATCAGTCATTTGTCGTATGGATGACTAAGAAAAATTTGCCTTTTTCTTCCTCAACCTCACTGCTCCTTTTGCCAAAAATAATAAAGCCAAACTGTCCAGAGAGCGAGGTGTACTCACAGGTAAACCCACTGGCTCTGCACCTTACCTGACAGCTGTTCTTTCTGTGCCCAGCAGTATCGTCCCACCACCCGCTGGCCAGTAGCTGGATTCAGAGCAGTACTGGCCTCACAAGGAAGTCACCAGCTCATATTCAGAGGCTTTATGGCAAGGCTGATGTCAACTGAGAGCAAACAAGTGCAGTGAGCAGGACAGAACTCCTTCTATAGGAAGGTTTTACTTCCTCATTTGGCTGGCCAAGCTCTCATTTAACTGTACCGTTTGATAAACTTTCACTTCAGTTTTCAAAAGGGAAAAACTAAAAAAAGAGGTTCCCAACATATCTTAGTTCTGAGTCACAGGAAAAGATTAGTCAAGTCCACTATGGCAGGAATCCATAACATAAGGCAGTAAGAACATGGCATATGAATTCTGGGTCAAGTGAAAAGTTTGCCACCAGGGTTGCTCTACCAAGTTAGGGTAGCCTCATTCCCATACATCTGGCAAATTTCTGACCTTCAGGGATACATGGAAAAAAAAAAGAATTTTAAAAAATCAACATTTTGCTTAGCACCTGATATTGCAAAGCCTCATTCAAACACTTCCACGTCTGAGGGAACCTGGTCTGGGAGACTACAAGAAAACATGAAAAACTAAACAACTCCCTCTAACCTACTGGTGCCTCAATTGAAAGGCTACTTCAGAGACACAGAGCCTGTCCATGGCAAAGAATGACAGGCACTTCCCAACAGAAAACAGAGGTTTTCGTCTACTTGTTCCTTACCTCGCTGCAAAGAAATATGCCCAAAATCCAAGTTTGATCAGCAGGAAGGGTTGAAGACTCAAGGAAGGGTTAACCTCTGGGACCATTCAGATGCTGCAATCAGCTCTTGCAGGTGCAGTACCCTCTGCCTCCAGGGCCAGGGAGGGTGGGGATACCCCACTGTGGAAGGAGAGCACCTCTGCCACTGTCAAAAGGTGACACACCAGAGCAGGGTTGACCTTTCCCAGTCAGAAATCCCTCCCTTACTTGCGTACTTTGTGGGAGGAAGCAGGGTGGCCAAACCCTTTGTAGTGGTATCCTGTTTAATCCAAAGACTGACTGCTGGTAAGCAAGCCTCACCATCCTTTCCCAGATCATTCCAGTAGATGGTTATGCCTTTGCATTACGGTCCTGGAAACTCTTTGGGACCCAGGTTGCTCTGCTGTTGTGTAAAGCAGTGCCCAGGTAGTCACAGGATAAAGAGGAAGCACACCAGCTCATCTGTCCTACTTCTGGCACAATACTTCCTCTGAACCACAAAGATCTGGCTGAGCAGACTAGTGGATATGGAAATAAGGGAGTGTTCCTAAGATCACAACTAAAGAAATATGTTAGTTTGTTGCTGCCCAGAACAGCTATAAACTGAACAGCCACAGCCTTTGACTCCACACCCCTGGAGAGGAAGGATTTTCTTTGCTCCATTTAAGCTTGCAGAATGTCACACACCTCATTACAAGACCACTATGAAGCAGTACTGTTGGAAAGGAAAGAGAAAGTTGCTCCATTATTTATAATCCGGGTAGGCAACAGAGCAAAGCATACAACATTGCATAGTATCATTTTAAACTCTATTTCTCACTAAAATGTTTTCTTTACCACACAAATAGAAACAAAACGGAGGTTATAAAAAGAAAAGTCAATTAGATAAGAGAATTTCCATTTCTAATGAAATTACTAAACCCATCTACCATAAAAAACCATGAGGAAAAGACCTCATTCAAATCGTAGTCAGCTAGGAAGGCCCTTACCCACTTGTTAAGAGCCTTTACCTAGGTGGTCACCAGCTGACAGAGAGAACACCATGAGAAATAAAGGAGCATATTTAATTTTTCAGACGGCCTCAAGCCCTTTCACTCACCAGCGCAGATAAACATTTGAGCACCCAAGGTTTCATAGACATTTGCTTTCTCTGCTGTGCTTCCTTGTGCTGACAAGCATGCTGAGTTTTCCCAGCACAGATTTATTGCTGCTCAAGGCTGTTGTTATGTTCAAGAGGGAAAGAGCTGCAGTGAGAGACATTTTCAGCAGGGAAGATCTCCCCACTAATGGATGTTCTGATGCAGAGCTGAGGACTGAGGATTTACTGGCTTGTGAAAAAACTAGACCTTCACCAGAAAGAATCACTACCAATCTCAAAGTGGGACAGCTTTTTTGTGGCAGCTCTTGGAGGCTATGGAGAGGACCAAGCATGACTTTCAAGGAGTGTGCAAAACCACTTTCCTGATGGTGTTAGACTTCAGTATGAAAAAACACTCTCTTGAAACTGGTACTGCGGAACACGTCAGGTGTTTTGGTCTGCACAAACCAGTGAGCTATTTGCTTTGCTAAAGGAAACAGTCATTATTGCGTCATCACAAGAGAAAAGCGTTATCACCATCTTCCTCATCTGTAAAAGTTCACCTGCTGGGAAAATCAAACAAGTGTATGTGGCCATAGTATCACAGTGAAAATTCTTTAGTCCCTAACCAGTGTAAGACAGTTGGGATAAAGCAAGTGCTAAATCAAATGCAGGTCTATTGCCAGGAATATTTTAAATAGTCCTGGAACTAATACATTCCTCATCCTACCTCAAGCAAGAATATTTCCCTAGTGCCTTCAAGGAAGGGTTGGGGCAGACCCTCAAGCCAAGCTCCCTGTATTCAACTGTTACACAGTACTAGCTATGCTCCCAGTTTTAAATAGGATTTTTGCACACTTAGGCAAAGTCTAGATGTTTGCTGCCAGTGTAGTGAACTGTTGGCGGCTGTTTGCTGCCAGTGCTGTTGGAGACACTGGAAATTTTGACTTGGAGACAGTTTTTTACCCCAAACATCTACATCACTAACAGGTGCTACTAGAGTGACAGCTCAGTTATTGATGGGCAATCCTGTATTCAGGTTGGTAGAGAGCCACTATCTTTAGAAGAGGTACTTTTGCCAAAATGACCGCCTTTCCTATCTCCCCAAAACTATGCCACTGTGGTGAGCACTCCAACTGACCAGGGAACAGGGAGAACAAAAACCAGGGAGAACTCATTTCAACAATGCAGACAACGGTAACTTCTTGGAAAATTACAACCCCATCATAAGATGTGATGTAGCAGGATCCCAACTTGGTTTTGCCTAAAATATCTATTTTTCCTCTGCCTTTTATATAACAAGATACAGCTATTACTCAAGTGTTTTCCACTAGGCTTATAACAAGAAAGTACCTTTCACAATCAGAAAGTCCCAAACAAGTTTCAAGTTTAAAAGTTTACTGCTGCTCAGCTTAAGATTTCAGAAAGCTCTTGGAGCTGTCTTTCAGCTTCAATAATTTATGTCATGCTCAGAAGACTTAAACCTTAATGTGGTTTACTGATACCTTTTAACACACCTACCACGTTTAACCAATACGATACTGGCTTGCTCACTGAGAAAAAGCACTTTATATCAGTAACCAGACCAAGCATTTTACACAAAAATACTGCCCTGCAGCAAGTTGTCACATAAATCTGTCATTTAACAGTTTTCAAAATGCTTGTGCTACCCCTATGTGCGCAGCAGGCGATTGATAGAAAAGGAGAGACATCACCCATGCTCTAGGAAGCTTACAAGCAAAACCTGTAATCCTGTTGTCAATAAAGTACAAGTTTTACATGAAAAAATTCAGGCTACAGGAGGGTGAGATGAACAAAGATAAGAGCAGCAACTGATTCAGAAATTATTCTAAACATCTTGAAAGTTTTTAAATGTTTCTCCAAATAACTAATGGGGGAACTTGTTTTGTTTGGGGGTTTGTTTTGGGAGTTTGTTTTGTTTTGGTGGTTATTAGGGCTTATTTGGTTTGGGTTTGGGTTTTTTTGGACAAGTGAAAGGAAGCAGGTACAGCTTTACCTACAGAGAGTAAAGACTCTTGGCAGAACAGAAACAGAGGCACATGGCACACTCTTCCATCCATACGTGGGGCTACGCAGAACAACTCTTCCAGCACGTATCCCAAAGGAAGAGCCAACATACCAAACCATCGTGCCAAACCAGGATTTTGATGAAGAATCCTTATGTGTTGCCAGCTCCAAAGCCACATGGAGCACAACTCAGGTGAGTTTCATAAACATACTCGTGATCTTTGAGAAAATAAACAGGAAGTCATCAGCAAGGGGGCCAACAGCCACCAGGCAGAGCACACATCAGGAGAAGCACAGGGTTATCATGGATGTTTTTGGGTAACTGTTTACTGTGTCATCCATCCTGTAATGCCAATCACTTGTATACAATCTTTCTGCTACTTCTACTGACTTGTATGATGTCCACAGGACTATAGAGAGATCCCTGTTGCAAAATCCTACCCCTCTCTCCCACTTGCCCTTAGTGCTTTAAGACTACACCCCATTCATAACATGGTTTCGGTCAAGAACACTTCAAATCTTGGACTCAAGCTCAGGAAAGATAAAGAGAACTACAGTAACTACAATGCACACCATCAAAATAGGTCTCCAACTTCCTTTAATCCACAGAATATAACAGTTTAGAGTATATATCATATTTTTAAGCTGTTGCAGGTAAAGGAAGCCAGTAGAAAACTCTGAGGAGCTGTTTCTTTAAGCCTTTAACCTCTAACAAAAGAGGCCAAAGCATGAAGAGTTCCCCTTCAAACAGGCCTCAGCTATGTCAAAGTGTACAAGTTGATGTTTCTGCTGCAACATTTCAGTGTTATTTCTCAACATTATAGAGGAAGGTGGGGTGTTTTTTGTTCTGTTTCCTGACTACCACAAACACCAAAGGTCAATACTGAAACTGAGGTTGGAGATAGCACTGACGAAAAGGAAATGAGGATAGGGAAGTGTGAACTCCCATTAGATTAGAACAAGTCAACTCTTCACCTCCCAGATAATAAAAAGTCCTGTCCACTCCAACACCTCTGGCAGGACAGAACCAGTTGGAAGTGTTTTTGGTTTCAGCTGACCATACAGCTTGTCTATGTCATTTCCAGAAGAACCACATGCACACAGCCATAATCTCCAACGACCATAGCAGTAAATCCCATCTAATCCAGAGCGCTGGGCCACCCATGTGTGTGCCAGGTGAACTGCAATCCCTCCAGTGTTAGCAGACTAGCCTAGAAATGCAGTCCTAAAATTAAGTACTTGCCTTCAAATTGGGAGCTTTCATGCTGTCATTTAATCATCTATTAATATCACCTTACTTTTGAACAACCACATCTGAGAGTTTTCTCTTAAAAATATAAACAGGTAATCCCATCAATCTGAAGCTACTGGGTACATTTTTAAAAGCACTAAGGCATATTGGAAATCAGAAACTTGAAACCTTTTGGATGTACTGATTTTTTTAACCTTTTATTCTGAAGACTCTTTGACCACCAACACAAATTGAGTATTTACTTCAATACGCTATTCATATAAAGGTTCAGTTCTTAAGCATTTACTTTCTGCAAGGAAAAAAAAGCCATTTCTGCTGCAGAAAAGTGAGCACATCTGAAATAAGGTGTTTGCTTCTAAATATCAGGAAGTTCTGTATGTCCCACAAGTGGCTGGGGGCTAGCTGAAGCCTATGAATGCCTGTTGAAACTCTTTGTGCTGTTAAGTTACAACTCTCCAGTAAGAGGATCTCTGGTGTCCAGCAAGAATTCAGTGCTCTCCCCAAGTGGAAGCTGGTTTTTGTTTCTATGACTGCCATTTCCTAAAAGCAGCAAGAACTCAATTGCTCTACCATCTCCAGATCCTTGTCAAATCTGCAGCGCAGCAGCACTTCAGTGCCTTTAACCACTGCTGTACAGTGGTGGCAGCACATGGAGCTGGTGGGACTAAGCCAAGCAGAAGCCCTTAATTTTAAAGGAAGGAAAGAGTTTTAAGTAGTCATATACAAATGGTATCTGCCCACTTCCTGGAAGGACTGTGCACAGCACACTTCTGTCTCCCCAGGTCTTCTATCACACTCTACCACAACATCTGAAAGTGCAGAAAGGTAAAAACAACCTCCTTGAATAAAGGAGGTACGTCATGCAAATCCTGTCACAGTGGAGAAGGGCAATTCACTTGTTAGTGCATGCTTATGTTTCCAAAAAGCTTTAGACAACATTCCTTACCAGAGATTCAGACCAATTAACTAACATAAAATACTTTATTGAAACCATGGGTTTGGAATCACAGCTTACTCTGAGAGTCATACACTGGGCATTCATAGAATTACAAGGTCAGGCTGCCAACAGAAGGCAACTGCTTTTATCCAGTAACTGTACATCCATTTGAAAGAATGTTGGAAATACTGGAAGAAAACATATTTTAGTCCCCCTCTTTCTTTTCCTCATCCTTCATCTGTACTTGGACCTCTCTTTGTCTTTTGATTTCTTAGGACTTCTGCTTCTGTCTGTTTTTTTATCCCAGTCTCTTGCTTGGAAGTCTTCTTTGTATTTGTCTTTCTGTTTGCTGTAGCTGTAATCTCTCTCCTGAGAACGGCTGCGACTCCGATGCCTGTCTTTCTTCTCACTCTTTATCCTCTCTCTACAGCGTTCTCCCTCATGTTTTCGATCAGAATCCTGTTAAAGGAATTGGACAGAAATGCAGTTACAGACAAAATGGGAAAATATATAAAGACATGAAGAGTGAAGAGAACTTGAGAAGACTCAAGCATGGTTGGTTCCTTAGCTAGGGCTGGTACTACCTGAAATAGATGCACATCCATGATGATTCGAGAAAGACAACACAAAAAAACCCCCACCAAAACCACATGAAGAAGATAAGTTTTTGTCAGTGTGTATGGAAAAATGCAGGGCTGTCAGGAATGCTTCTCCTTGTATTTCCTAAGGAGCATTACCAAAAACTGATTATATCAGGGATTCCACTCAGATGGATATTATTAAATTCTTCATAAGCATCACACAAGCTTCTAAGCTAGATTTGGATTTTTAATGTAAGTATCCAATGCAAGTATTTCCATCATAAGTTTTGGTTCAAGCCCTACAGGCATTCCAGTGCTATGCAGATGCAGAACATTTTTTAAGACATGCCTGTAATAATTCTTAATGGCCTAAACTCTAGGCTTCAGCAAAATAAATGACACTGTTACAGAGACCAACGACACACAGACAGGTGCAAACTATGTTTCCCTGAAGTTACAAGTCCACAAGAAGAGGTAGCATGGAGAATATGATCCTCTTAAATGCACAATCAAACAACAACACAGGGTATGTGAGTTGAAATGGAAATAATGAGCTAAAGAAAAGCTAGTTATATTTTGTAGGTTTATTGGTATGACCAATAGAGAAAACACAGGAGGATACACTCATACACAGGCATAGTAAACTCTAGGGGGACCAAGTATTAAAATGACCTAAAAAGGAGAGACCAACAGTATTTACAAAAAGTGGTAATGGTGTTTAAGCACATGCATAAAAACTCCTGGAAAAAAAAAGCTGCAAGGTCAGGGAACCAAAAATGAGGAAATTTTGAACTTTCCTAGATTTCTTCATGTTGTCACTGAGAATGCTGTGTGAGTGGGCTCAGTGCACAGAACAGATTTGCTCTGGAGAGAAAAAAGATTAGGTAACAAAGGAGGAACTGCTGTCGGTAGAACAACTGCTCTACATGTTGCACTAGGCAGTATGAAACCACTGAGACTGTAGTTAGGAAAGACAGTCTAATCAGTCAGGCCTGAAATGGCACACTGACAACATTATGGCACAGCACACACTAGACTCACTATGTGCGGACACCAACACCTGTACAGGCCGTGGCATCACAGCAGTTTTAAAAGTGAAAAGATACAGATCACTTAGGAAGCAGACACTCCATTTCAAGGAGCTCTAAAGATTTTATTAATACAAAACACTGATTTTTGACATGTGAACTAACATTTTTCAAGCACTGCTAAAAACTAGTTTGTTCTTATTATTCAATTAAGATATACCACGAAACAAAATACAAGAGGGAGCTTCAGAATCCTGCAGAAAGATACTTACACACCTTGCTGTTAAAAGGTGGCAGACACTTTTCTTTTGAAGGTATGACTGATCACCTGAAAGTTCAGTATGACTAAATGCTCTAGCAGACAGGTACCAATTTATGGAATTTTAATAACAACACTAAGCACAGATCATGTGAAAAATGCCTGCATTAAATTACACAGTGTTTCCCTCCTCGTTTCAGATATGATTTTCCTAAATACGCACCATGACAGCAGCATTCACAATTGTATGGCTGAAACCTATATTCCATGTACAAACAAGCAAACTTTATTTATTTAAAAGAACAGTGAAAAAACTCTACTCCAAACAGAGCTTTTATGCAGAGAGCCAGGGATCAGGATGGTTCCCAGAGCAAACACCACTTTTATAATGACATAGGTAATGCTGAAATACTAGGGTCACAATAAGCAACATAAACCCCCTGGATAAACACCCACAGGTTTGATCTATAACAAAAAAATTCTCCTACTGCTGGCTACAGTAATCTCACTGGTGGCCAAATGCCTATTCCATGTCTTTAATGTCAAACTTATTTCAGTACAGATGTTGAAATCTGAATCCGCCAAAAAGACTCAGTGGTGCTTTGAGCTATTTATAAAACCTCTGTCCATTCACTGTCAAAATGATGCACAGCCGTATTACTCTTCTAGCCAAAAACCCTCACTCTCCATATGTTTGAACAAGACATCAAGTTTCGAGCCCCTCTGTGGCAGGAATATCAGAAGATGGACATCAGAAGATGGACATGCTGGTGGTGGAGTACAGAGAAACAAGAAAATATTGGCCAGGTAAACAAGTGGTGGGCTTTGTGTATGGTTGCCTTCTACCTGATTTGTTGCTGGAGTTGCCTCCCAGCACATGGGAAACAGGAGAACAGCAGAACAGTGCTGTTGAAAAATCGAGCAGGTCAACACTGGAGGCAGGCTACTGGCCAAGTCAGGGCAGGGAACAGGTTAGTGAACACTTGAAGCTACAGAAAAATAGCCCATATTGAATGCCATAGAACAGGCAACTTGTTGAAAGGATTAAAGAAGTCATATAAGCATTGAGTTAGCCAAGCTCAGTGACGTTCATAGAAGCATTTAAGGTATAGGTGTACAGGGCAAGTCTGAAAGGGACACAAAAAAATCACCACAGTAGCTACTATGAACACGGTGTAGTGGTCTGAATTAATAGAATGAACTGCATCTTAGTCCACCACCAACACAAGCTGCATTACCCCTTAAATAAGACTTTACATTTTAAAGTCTTTGGCATAGAAAAAGGTCAGTTTTTTAAACACTCTATATTACTAAAACCAATGTTATCTTGATATCAAATCTTTTATGCCCTAATTCAAAACCATGCTGTTTTGGAAGAGGAAGAAAAAAGATTCTTCCTTAAAAACAGGCTCTCTCCTACTGCTGATGTTCAGATTTCTCAATACAGGATCACAGCCTCTCATCAGTTAATGACTAATGACTAAGAAATGATCACCCCAATTCTTAATCCAGCACCAGGCTGGGTTGTTTGAGGAAGGAAATACGAAAATGGGAAAGACGCTTCTCTGGAAGTTCATGGCTGACTTCGCCAAAAGTAGTCACTTCCTAAACAGCACCTGCAGGTAAATCAGCTAGAAATACTATGACCACAAAAGCAGAATACATATGTCACCTCTAAACACATTAACCATACCACTTATAGGCACACTAGTTAAAAGTTAAAAGGAGCAAACAAACAGAGACAGCCTTTTCAGGGGGAATATTTTGATCAAACTTGACCCCGAATCTAAAGGGAACAGTATGCAAAAAGCAGTAAGAGCAGGAAATTAAAACCAGAAAAATGAGTTTCTCTGTTGAAACCATGCAGTACAGAAACTGGAAAGTCAGGAAGCCCCTATGCCTCACAAAAAACTATTGGATAGGCTATACTCCTCCACAGATCCAGTTATCTTAAAAAATAAAATCCAAGAGAAAACAGAGAAAACTGGAAGGGGAACAAAGTTCTGATACAGATCACAAGCAGGAGCTTGACCTGTATTCAAAAAAACTACCAAATTCTATTCACAAACCCACATGGTAGTCCAGCCTCCTGCCCCAGACCCACATCCTGTTACCTACTAAACGCAAGCCACAACACCCTACCTCTTCTACCCACTGGAATCAAGTCAAACAGTACAAGATTAAAAAATACATTCTTAAAACATCAACACTGCTGAAGATTCAGGAAACAGGAGTCAGACTAAGAAAAGGATGAGTCAAAATATACTAAAGAAAAAAAAAATCACCAGCAAGAGAACAGAAAAACAACCTAACCTTATGGAAACTATTCGGAAAATAAAACCCCTTCAAGTCATAGCTGGAGTTCATAGAACAAACTGCAGTTCCAGTTGCCAGAACTTCCCACTATAAGCCCGTGATCTCAATTAAAATCTCGGCCACACTAAGGACTTGGGATAGAAGTTTCTGTATGAAGCATGGTTATTGTGGTCTTTGGCCAATTAGCTGTGGGAGGTCTGCTGTTGTTTTGTTTTAAAGTTCTTACTTCAAATATATTCTATGATTTACAAAACAGGGTTAAGGGAGAACGCTTTGTTTGCCTATACTAAAAATGCTCCTGTTACCCTCTGTGCTGGCCTCAGTATTCACAGTGAACACACTCCACCTCAGGAACGTGCTTCCTTCCCCTGCTCTGGTATGAGTTCCACAGATTAGGACCAAATTATAAATAATAAAAAAAATAAAAATAAATAAATTTTGTATATGTCAAACAGGATTTCTCAGCTAAGCTGGCTGCAGATTTCATTGGAAAGGTCATGCCCAAGACACTCTACGTGTGAATCTCTACGTGTGAGTACATACTGCTCAGTATGTACATACTATACACTACACACTAATGAGAATAGTCAAATCCAGAGAGAAAAGTTCTTCCCAGAAATTAATTTTCACAACTCCAAGAGGGATCTATGATGCTTGTCATCAGAGAACAGAAGTAAGCCTCCTTCTGTGATTTTGGGCATAAGAAAGCTAAGATATTACAGCAAACTGGGTAAAGGTAAGTAAGAGAAAAGAAAGCCACGGGAAAGAAGATACCAGAATACAGCAGCAGAGACTACAGGAACAAACCACACTAGGAGCAGGTGACTAAATCACAAAAAGATACACATACATATAGAAGAGATCATACAGTGAGGCACTAGAAAATATTCTTTTCCAGTACCAGAAACAACGTCAGGAATCCATCTGTCCTCATCCATGATTTTGTGCTATGAAATCCACTGTGCTGTGAAGACTAAGACTCCCTTGAAACTATTATGACAGAGATTAACACCTTATATTGCTGCTGGTACTTGTGCCATTTGCAGGGGTGGAGACTTCTAAATGATTTTTAAATGTTCTCTGCTGATAACACATGACCAGCAAGTTCCACAGGTGTAATTTCTGAACCATCAAGAACAAAGATTACTGCCAGAAATACCCTTTTCAAGAATGCTGAAGCGACAGTGTCAATCAGCCAAAAAGACAGGAGGAAGTCTAAACCAACGGTAGCCCAGACCTCTTGTCTGTACGTGCTCCAGTTGAGATTTCAATTATCCGAACAGGTGTCTCCCCTCCTCTGTCCAAGGGACCCTGACATAATTAGTACACAGTGACAAAAAGACTTTGTCCATGAATGAGCAATAGGGCTCACTGGTGGCACTGAAAGAATTTAATTACTAATGTTCATGAGAAAAGTTATTTTTAAGCATCACAGAAGTAGTGATGTAACAGAACAACAGAATCGTGAATGCTCTGTGTACACAGAACTTACAGCAGTACTCAAAACTCATGACAGGACAAAGGCTTTATTTACTGTGGCTGAAACCTTACCACTTTCTACAAAGTTGGTAGAAGACAGCTTTGTTCTCACTCATAAAGCTTGCTTTTTTAAAATAGTAGGGTTTGGGTATTTTTCTTTTTCAGCTTAACTCAATTCCTCCTAATGCTCACACTGCAATGACGGTTCAACCCTCCACTTTATCATTGCAGACCTTGTTTCCACAGAACACCAATATCTTGACTATCCCAAGTTCACAGAAATGTGAGACTGCTGTCCTGACAGGCTGCAGTGGAACTAATGAAAGAAAGAACCAGTCTTTCCTGATGATCCCCTCCATGGTCCCAGCCTTACAGTACCATATGCTTGCACAGTAGAGATGCAAGCAAACCCACACACAGATTTTACAGAAATGCTTCCAAAACAGTTAGGGGGGGAAAAAAAATGCAAAGAGATCGGGGGTTTTTCCATACGGGAAAAAGTCAACATATGATGGTCTGGCAAGAAAATGAAAAATAGTCTACAGTCATGAAATATGATTAACTACTAGTTTATGACTGGGAATATGTGAACAACGGGTTCAAAGTGCTGAAGATCTCCTACTTTATGAGAGGCTACACTGCCTCTTTAGGATGTTTTGGTGAAAAGCCATCTAGATATGCCAAGCTGCAAAAGTCAAGAAGGATTTGGAAAGTCTCTTTCATAATCAAATATTAACATCAGGTTCACAAGTGTTGTATTTTAAGGGACTTTGCATGCCATGTCCTCATTCAATATCGGACCTGTTTTTCCTGGCTTCTTCTATGAGGAAACCAATGAACAGGTATAAAGTTAGTGCATGAAGAGGTAAGTACCTTAGATTTTTTGGTCCTCTTGTCATCATCGTCATCTTCGGAGTGGTGGTGCTTTTTCTTCTTTTGTTTTTTAGCCAAGTGTGAGTGACTTGTTTGAGACTCTTCTACATCCTCATCCAGCACAAGGTCATACTTGGCACTGATGGTGTTGGTTAAGGACAGATCTGTTATTTCATATCAATAAGTAGCAGAACACAACACCTCGTGAAGCAAACAAATCCCTGTTTATCGAAAAAGCATTTACCAAGACTTAAAATGTATTTCAGTCAGAACAGGGCTGTTAACCGAATTCTGTCCTGTCAAACAGTACAGCCAGGTCCCAGTTCTCCTTTTTTTAATACCTGTGGATACCTGAACAAGCTATGGGCTTATTTTCTCTCATGCTTACCACAAGCAAAGTATAATCTCAGAGAATGATTTAGTTACTACTCTGGTTTCATTCTGGATAGAATGTCCCTTCTGAAACTACTTAAAAGTCTGTTATGCTATACGTCATTCCAGGGCCGTAGACTTGGAACATTATTTACCTGCACACAACATGGAAGTGAAAGAGCATATTTACTAAATTCATCAAAGCTATCAAGTGAAAAGCACAAAATGCTTAATTCTATCTCAAAACACCAAATGGTTGGTTATGAGGCAGCAGCAAAACATCCATTTGGCAAGCTTTAAAATTAAGAAGTCTTTTCCAGGTTGCTTTCATAAACTGTACTTAATTCAAAAAGCACCTCTGACCAGAAAGGATACTCTTGCTTTGGTTTTACCTTCTCTTTCAGAGCAAGTTTTGAAGGTTTGTCACGTTCCTTCTCGTACTCTTTGAAATCGTCCTTGGTATAACGCCCACCTGTTCACAGAAAAATATAATCCACTCATTACAGCTAAAACCACAACCAAGACACACAACTATTATTAAGTCCTGATTAAGAGCTCTTCATAACCATACAGAGATGCACAGCAGGATACAGTTCCAGAAAAAAACCTGACATCTCGGTTACAAAGAAGGAAAGGAGGACAAGCTGTGATGTTCTGTCCTTCTCTTGCTTGCAGATATCATTAGGCAACACATGGTTTTCTCCTTATTCATGTCTAGTGGAGACAACATACGAAGAAGATCACAAAGCAGAATTCAGTAACTGGCTTAGTCCCATTTAGGGATCGTGTGTCACACTACTTAAAATTCTGTTACCATGAAAGTCCACAGACTATTATTAATTGACTTTTTGCTCTGGGCTGCACAAAGGGAAACCTCTGAGACAGCTACAGCTCAGTAATTCAAATGGAAAACTATATAGAAAAACCTGGTCACGTTTGGATTTGGAGAGGGGCAAGACAGATTCCCGTTTCCATCCATTCACCGGAAGTACCAGCCCAGAGAGGAGCGAACCACAGCAACGTGCTGCCATCTCACGGCCACACTGAGAACTGCAACATTCTCTGGCTGGGCCAGAAACGGCCTCCCAAGGAACAAGGACGGTACCTCCCCTAGGTCATTTTTTAGGTACCATTGAAGCACAAGACGACAATACAGTTAGCTTTTCAATATTTTGAACAATTTAGACCTAATCTACCCAGATAAAGTTTCCCACACAGTCAGTTAGTACAGGATGCAGTGCAGCACATGGTATAGACAGACTACAGAGTCTGCTTTGCTCTGTGCAGGACAAGTTCTAGTACCTCAGTGTTCATGACCAGAACCCTACTTGGAGAAACTGTGTGCTAACAACCGAGGGCTGACTGCATTTTTAGGAGAAGACACACAAGAATGCCACCACTGCAATGCACAGTTGCCTCTCCAAGTCTAGTGTTTTCTTCATTCCCCAGCAACAAAATAACCACTGCATTCACCTCTTCCTCCATTTTTTTCCTCCCAAAACATCCTCAAACACCTGAACTTGGGTTTTCATACAATACAACCTGCTGGACAGTATGTTTGACCTACTGGAGGTGAAGAGCAGAAATCCCTGGCCTGAATAGTGACTTTTTCTTATATATATACACCTGACTGTCATACAGTGAATAAAGAAAAGAAACTAGAAAGTAACGGTGTACTGCAATATTAGTCTGCTAATAAGTAATATCAAAAAACATCATGTCCAAAGCTTGAGAGGAAAAAATATTTTAGTGGCAAAAATACACTGGATAAAAAAGGTAATCAGTGGCAATGCAATGTTAACGTAGTACAGCTGTAAACCCTTCTACTCTTTCATACAAAACCAATGAAAGGAAGAGCTAACAACTGTGTTGCTTTATTTATTACAGTACCAGGAAAATTTATATCCCTGAAGATTAGATGATTTAAACTAGAAACTCTTTATATAATGCTTAGTTTTGAAGCCATAGCTTATTAAGTTATGAGGATCAAAGTATTGCAAATGTACCTACCTTTTCCTTTCCATTTAATCTTTGCAACAGACTGGCTAAAATCCACATGTATCCGTCTGTCATCTATCAGCACATTGTCCATTTTGAAGTAGGCTTTCTCACAGTCTTCCTCCTGATATTAACATTACCAGAATACCTTGAGTCATGATTATTTCGTAAGTATATTCAACTGCTTAATGACATACATTTCTTTCCAAAATTGCCTACAATATACCAGTTCTTGCATTGTACCATTTCAAAAGCAATAGTTATGCTTTCTCTGAACATCAGCATTTCAAATTCCAATTCTTTAGTTCAATTCACCACTTTAAAAATTTGCCAGTCCAGTTAGGTATTTGGCACAATGTAATACATTCAGAAAAATAAGGAAAATAGGACAACTAAAAAAAGTTCCATTTTAAGTACGTAAGTAGGCTAAAGCAAAGTGAGAACACTTTTCCAGGATTTTCCTCACAGATTAGACAGATTATCACATACAAAGCTATGCACCACCCAGAGAACTATCACTATCAATCTCACAGTAAGAGCAGCATGTTGATACAGTAAGCATCATTTACAAGCCCAGTGCAGGACACTATTGTATTATATAATGTATTAGCTACCCCACACTTGAAGATTTCAGTGTTTTTCCTTAATGGAAGTATACCAGAAATGAACTTCTATAAGCAGAATCTACATATAGTATACCTAAAAAACATACCTTTTCAAACTCAATGAAAGCATAACAAAGAGATTCACCAGTCTTCCAGTCTCGAATCACTTCACAGCTGAAAAATTGATATAAAATTAAAATGTCAATGCTGTTGAAGCAAAAATCATAGGATAGGAAAGCATTGCTTAAAAGGGAGAGTAACAGTTCAAATAAATAAAAAAATAAATCACAAAACCAAAACACCTCAAAAGGTATTACAACACCTGATTCTGAGACCCCCTACTGATGTGGGGGTGTCCGCACAGAAAAAATGCCTGCGACATTACTTGAGTAATTACACTTAACTCACAAACAGCTACTATGAAGTGTAGAACTAGAGATTAATTTCTAATTAATGAAATAAAATATATTTTCCAATATTTGTTATTAATTTTTTGCATTTAATATATTTTCCAATATTTGTTATTAATTTTTTGCATTTCACTAATGCAAGACAAGAAATTTCACATTCTGTTTTCTCAGTCATTTTAAGCGAAGTTTAAACAGACACTATGTGACAAACTTTCTCTTCTTAGCAAGCACCTCTTTAGCAGCCATCTTTTCATCAGGCAGTTCACAGGGCAAAAATAAGAAGCCCAAAAATATTGAATCAGTAGATGCAAAATGGGAACAATACAGTATTGCAACAGTATTACCCAACTCTTGTACTTGACATGAGAATTCTGACTACAGGATGCTGAAGGAGGACAGACAAGACAACCGGGGCAGGAAATGTGGCATTAAGGTGAGACTTAATAATGTGAGACCTCCCCCACATGTACTGAGGAAATGACAAATCAGGATTAGGATACACAATCAAAAGGGGGGGAGAGAAAAAGAAAAAAGCAGACCACAAGGCTATTCAGAGAAGCTATAGCCATTCGTTGCAGCAGCCATCAGCAAGGAAGATGACAGGACGGTTTTGTGCAAGAACGCTGCTTCGTGGATTATTCTGAGAATCTATCTCAAAGAGGAAGGATTGCAGAAGAGGTACTGAACAAACTGATAGAGGGGAAAAAATAAATCCCTAGGACAAACAGAAATCATGCTGGAGTTGTAAGAGCTGCACACAATGCCCATTTCACCACCCCCTTTCCCCCCCAGACAATCCAGTTTAGGATCTGGGTGTCTGCAGGCCTGTGTGCCAGTACCACACAAACTGGTAGAAACTCAAAGCAGAACAGACTTAGTGTGTGTCTGAATACAGAGGGCCTACTCAGGACCACCTGAATAAACCTAAGTGAAGTGCTCTGAAAGAGTCAATATGCTTATGCATGATGATGATGCATTTGATGCAGTCTTTTGAAATCCCTCTGGAAATTCTAATAAACTCCTGAACCAAAGGCTTTCGGGGAAAAGGATATAAGGAACATCTTTGCACTGATAAACGTGCAAAAGGTCAGGTAAGAGCAAACTGATTTCAAAGTTTGCTGATGATACTAAATTGTGCCGATGATACTAATTGTTAAAGGTAGCAAAAATAAAGACTGAAGAAATTGCAGAAAGTCCTTATGAGACCAACAAGACAGCAAATGATGCTCGTATGATGTAGATAAATGCTACAAAATGAGCAAGGGTAGAATCGTGTGCATTATAAAAAAAAAATCCAACAAAAACCCCTCGGCTTTAGTATTCACTAGAAAAGGAGTTGAGAACAATGCAGAGACCACCACTGTGCCACTGCATATCTGTAATTTCTTCAATACCATGTGCAGTTCTGGTTCTCTCATCTTGAAATGAAAACAAAAGAACAGGAAAAAGTCAAGAAAAGAGAAACAAGGTAAGGAAATCCCTACTACAAAGCATGAGTATGTAGGCTAGTGCTCTTAGCAGTGGAAAAAATTACTTTGGAGCATAGGACAAAGAGGTGTAGGAAAGCAGACTTCATTGCCCATCATGTCTTTTGATAGCAGTACTAGGAGGAATCAATTGAAACTACCAGAAGCCAAGTTCAAAACTCAAAAAGGCAGCAGGCATCAGAAACACCTTACAATGAGTATATCAGATGTCAGAAATGTTTGTTGCTTTATCCCAAAACATATTTTACCATAATTACCTTTTAATGGGACCAAATCGTGAAAATATTATCTCCAGGTCCTCCCCTGTGGTCACAGGATTCAGCTTACAAACAAACAGCACATTTTCTGGTGGCTTGACATCTGCATCTGGTAAGTCTCCCACCTGTGGCATATAGAAAAAGATGTTCATCACTTCTGCCTAAAGCTCTTTACAGGCAGCACAGCACACTGGCAACACAACTTTTGTACGATCTCAAAAAAAAAAATCTTTCCTATCACAAAATCAAAAATTAAATTATTTTTCCTACTCAGTGCCACAAAAAAGTGCTTTCCATAGCACCTAAAAATTATTATCTATTTGCAATTCCACCGCTGGGACTTCATTAAAGTTGACAAATGCTTTCTACTTTGCTTTTCCTGTTCATAACGTAACAGAATTCTAAAAGCACTTCTTTTTCTCCTACAAGTCTTCTGCAACATTGCAGCCATATCTGGGGTTTGACCTTGGAATTAGGCTCTGCTGCAAACTATTCACCATAAATTTGAATTTGGTAGTTGTAAAGGAGTGACGTGGATTCACTCGTTCTTCAACAGTGCATATGCTTTTTTAAATTTTTTTTCCCTTAAAGAAAAAAAAAGATTCCAAAGCCTATTCACAGTTTTTGTTACTACTGAGTTTACAACTGCCAGCAGTTACCAAACACTAAATTTAAGAAGGAGGAACACAGAGTTAACCAGTGTTAAATTCAACTAATTCCACAGGAGGAAGAGTGCCATTACAGATATGAATAATGCAACTTCAATGCCACTGTATGTACTGGGAAGAGATTATCACAAATTAGCTCAGCTCTCTCCCACACATGCTAAACCTTTCTCAGGATTACAAATACTCAGCAGCATGTTATGTATGTTACGTTTTTTAACTGGATGTATTTCTAGCAAGTTTTTACAAAGCCTCCATTGCCCCACTTTTAATCCTGGCTTTGAAAATGAAGTATCACCAGTTTTATCAAAAAACCACATCCACTGCTCACACTCAATCCTTTTCATTGTACCACAGACATTTAATAGCACAGATTCTGAAACATGACATCATCACAAGATAAGTAATACACATTCTTCTAGACTTAATAACACGTGCACACACTGGAATAACATCTGCAAGGTAAATGCGGGAAGATTTTCACCATTTCCAGAAGAATGGCACGAGTTTTTGCTTCTTTTTCTGCTTGAACTTCTTCTATTTCATCTGCAGACAGTCCTTTCATGTCATCAATTTCTTCATCTGCTCCTATTCTGCCACTCTGAAAAATTAAGGAAAAAGTTATTTATTACCAAGTCATGGCCAAAAATTCTTTCTTACTTTCCAAATATTACTTGTATGATCTCTCCCCTCACACCTCAAGACATGAAAATGCTTAAGCACTGTATCTCTGCAGAACTGGACTTTCAGGCACTGTGAACTATGTATGAAGTTTTGGGACCAGTCTAAACCATATTCAGTTAAGTATTCTAAATTCTTTTATATTCCCACCTCATACTCAAAAACTCATCATAAGTGTCAACTCATTTCTAATTCAGATAGTTCCTACCCAAAATGAAGATCAGGAACACTGCAAGTATCCATGATGTCTTGTAACACTCAAACATTAAACAGAACATAGCAAAATAAGAATTTTATTTTTATACACCTACACCTAGATAGGATTCAAAGTTTAATTTTTCTCCTCTTCAGCATCTCCACAATGCTCTCCCTCTTACAGACACCAAAAGGTGTATCTTCAGAAAGGTTACAAAAAAGAAAACTAAGTAAAAGTTTTCAAATCTCTACACAGTTGGCAGTGAGCTATTAAACTCCTTATACCATTTAACGTATCTGAAGGCACATCAGACTAACCACAGTGCAGACGCACTATGAAAGCCTCCTTCCAATCTTGTAATTATACGTATTAAGTTTGAGAATAAACAATATTCTCTCTAGTCAATTTATTCATTGCTTGAAAAATCTCCTTTCCATGCAAGGAGATAACCTCACATATAACTTCCATAACTCCATGCTATGAGTGAATTATTAACTACTCCAATTATTTTTTAGAAAATTCCTTCTGTTTGAACAAATAGTCCACAACAGTATGCATGTTAGCACATATAACTCAAAGAATGACCACAATTACTTCCACTGAAACACATACTATTTCACATTTAAAGGGAAAATAGTGGTAACTACTTTAATAATAGTAAATGTTAGTTATATTTTGTCTTCTACCAGAGTATACAGAAAACAAATAATACCAAAGGTGAATATTCTGAATGTTCTGCTTATCTACACTGCAAATAGAAATCTAAAATACAGCTTTCAAACCTAAATCCACCAGAGTCACAGGGGAGAGCACTCAAGTCATGCTTTTAACATTTTCTTGAAAGATTAAGCAGCTGTATTTGATTCAACACAGCAATAGCTTCAAATAACTGACAAGCACTTGACACATCAGAACTCAAGATGCGCAGTAGAAGAGTATTGCTTATCCTCCTGTGTGAAAAAATGTATCGTTCTTTTAGGACATGGATTCGACAGACAAAGTCTTAAAAGACTGAATTCTTATTTTGGCCAAGTCTGTGCTGGACACCACTAGAGATAAATTTATTTAATTATTTCTTCCAACTTTTCCCCGAGAAGATAACATGAGCACTCACATCGAGCTGTTCCTTCGTAGGTTCTGGTGAGTGATCAGGAACAGCCAAGCCAGGTGGATCATCAAACGGATCATCTAAAATTACTGTGTGATTTATCCTTACAGAGAACAAAATCAAGATCAGCATCAGTTACATGCAAATAAAACTCTCTTTACCCAAGTAACAGCAAACCAGTCCCACTAATTCTCAGTTATATCCCAAACAGCCAAATATAGAATCATAGAATCAGCTGGGTTGGAAGGGATCTCCGAGATCATCATATACTGTATGCTTGTAAATTCTAGTACTGATGCTTCTGTAAGGGTGGCATAGTTGAGTTGTTTATTTAGTACTTGCTTATTTTACCACTACTGGAATAAAAAAATATTTAACATAGCATGTACGGGTCACCTGACTTCAAAATATTCATCTAGTTTCAAAAAAAAGACTAATTCATTTAATTACAATGTATTCCTCAAAAAGTGAAGTTAAAAGCAGTCACACCTGATATCTTGATATGGGATAAAGTCCTTATCTACAAAGGTTTCATTAATTGTCTTCAATACATCCATGCCTTCTGTCACTTCTCCAAATACTGTATGTACACCATCAAGGTAATCCAGGTTTTCCCCTGTAGTAATAAGAAACTAGAAAAGAAGACACAAAACCAGTAACAATGAATACCAAAATTCAGTTTAGTTTTGTTTTGTTTTTTTACCTTAGGAGAGAGAGACAACTCTCACTGAATTCGATGGGAAAAAAATTCTTCCTGACTTTTGCAGAAGAAGATTAGTCTTTTCCATCAGCTCTGGGAGCATTGTGAGCCAACCTACAGCTCACAGCCACTGCCTGAGGCAGAGAGGCTCTCTCATACAAGTGTCCCTCTGCATGAGCCTTCAGCTCTGGCTCTCTGGATCCTTTTGTGAGTAGGTTTGACTCAGTAATCTGGCAGAAAGTCAGACAGGCAGAGGAAGAGCAGACAGCTACCTGTTGAGTAGGTTTCTTGAGCAAGACCAGCAAAGGCTGTGACAGGCACCACAGCTGATGAAAGGGAGAGGGCAGAAAGAACAAGGCTACCCCTCCGGGTAGCAGTGAGTTGGGAGCTGAGCTCTAATCACCTGTTCAACAAGCAGCGGTCAGCAGGTGCATTTTCATTAATTTGGCAAAAACTTCCACAGTTCTACCTTCACCTAATTCTACCCAGACTTTTTTCCTTACTTCCCACAAACCCTTCTCTCCTGAAAAACAGGATGCAGTAGCATTGAGAGAAGAACTAGCACACAGTAGCACTGACTTAGATCAACTGGCACTGAAATGTATCTTAATACAAATCAGGTCTTTCACTTTAGGGCAAAACTGAAACTCTGGAAAATGATACCAACTGAGCACTTGGTAACTAATCAGACGGAAGGTACTTGGTAATGAATGAAGGAGGAAGTAGTAGATATGCACAAATAACAGAACACAGCCATTACATCCACACTTTACAATCTGACCGGTAACATCTCACTCCTCATTCTCTCTGCAACACAGCTAAGACTGGCTAGTATTTGGTATAGGTTACACTAAGCTACATTCTACTTGTAAGGCAACTCCATGTAATTCCTTACTGGAATTTTTCTTTCTCAAGGAAGAAGCTGCAATAATGTTCCTGGGAATTGCATTTGTTCCCATATGCCTACATATACACTAGCAGGCTGCATCTTAAATATAAATACAAATATCACCTCTTTTCCTAAACCCCACACCCAAACACTTTTACACATACAGTGCAAGGAAGCAGCAAAATTAACAGCATATATTACAAGCTCTAGCTGGAATAAATCCATACTTTTTTCTTAACTGTTCTTCAGTTATTAAGAAACCCTCTTTTTAAGAATTAAAACATATGGATATTACAAGTGAGGCATTTAAAATTTATAAAAGTGACAACGGACCTAAAATAACAATTTAGAAACAATAGCATTCTATGCAAAAGAACTTTTAAAAAAATGTAAAAAACCCTACCTACAGCAAAAATGCACATGAACAAGGAACAGCAAAGGGCACACCACCACTTTCAAAAACTGTTTTACACCAGCACTGGGGTAAAACTGTAAACTTACTGTATTATTAATACACACTTTTATGTAACAATACAGAAGAAACCGTAGTATGATTTCAGTTTTCAGACTAACCATAAAATTTCATAACCAGAAAATTTCAAGATTATTTCAAAGCCCAGTTTCCTTACTTTTCCCTTCCATTCAACTACAGATTTTTTTCCTGACTGTTTTATACATTAGCAAAATCCCATCAAAGTATTAACAGGAATAAATAAAGGAAAAAATATAGGACTGAGTGCTAACAAATAAAACTAATCGAGGACAGGATTTGAATCTGAGTATTTTAATTTTTCTCTTGTCTGTAACAAAATACCCATTGGGACCTGAAATCCTATGCAAAATATTTAACTATGGCTGGCTTTTCACATGTCTTTTGACCATATTACAAGATGATGCTATTGAGATGACACTATCAATTGTTGCATTGCTTTTGTAAACTCATGGAATCTTCATTTTAGTTACCTAGACGTGTACCAACACTGTGTACCAACCTGTGATCCATGCTGATCACTGCCATTGTTCACCATTGACACAGTTCCTTTCTTCTTATGCTTGATTCTCGGCACCTTTTCTGCCTCAAAAAATCTAGCTTGATCACCATAGAGCTGACTGAAAATATATATAACAAATTCGTTACATGAAAAAGTGAGCTAATGAAATGCTGTAAAACAGTAAATAAGACATCTTAAAAATTTTTACATTGGCCTTCAAATAAACCCAGAATATACACTGCATCCATGCACATTTTTATGGACCTGTACACTTAAAGAGTTCGCTTTATATTACAGGGGAACAACAGATTTTTCTGAGACATTTCACAGATTCTTTCTGGGGGGTTGAGGGAGATAGAGGGGTGTATTTATATGTTGTTAAATGCAGTATATAACATTTTTCTGAGGTATGAAGTAGGTTTTAAGTAGGTTCTGTAAAAATAAGTTATTCCACACTGTAAAAATGCAATAATATACATAAAAATTTCTCTTCCAAGAGAAACAGAAAACTAGATTTTGTGGACTTCAGCAATAACGAACAGGTAAAAAAGACCAACTGCCATTCTCCATGGTAGCAGCAGGACAGGATCTCACACTCTCTCATCACATTGCACTTCTCTACCTGCCATATCAATAAGTCTCAGAAGACTTGTAACAGAGCAGAGTATCAAAATAAACTTGATCTACTTGTGTGCAGAGAGAGCTTAAGTTTGGCAAGTTCACCCTCCTAGACTTGCATCTGCTTAGCACAATTATACTGTTTCCAGGACCACAAAGTGAGGATTCATGGATCCATGGGTTCAAGGTTTTGTATTTAAGAGGCTCAGACAGACTTACAAAAGCCAACACTGGTCGAGCAACACTGTCTCTGTTCAAACTGAACTATTTATCTCTGTATATTGTGTTCCCCAGCACTTTGTAATTAGTTCTGCTCTGCAATTTTAATTCTACTTTTAATAACAATTTCAAAGGAATCATATAGAACATACACATTTTGCTAACTTCCATCCTAGCTGTTCGAATGATTTCTTCAATTTTTGTCTGCATGACCACTGGAAATGTCTTAAACAAGGAAGAAAAGCGATTTCCTTATATACATTCAAAATTACTAAAATGAACTCAAATAAATTTTTAGAACAAAGGGATTACATTCTTATAGACAGAGGAAATCAAATATAGCCTCTATGTTTCACTCATGCTCAATTAACTACGTTTTGTTACAAAGATAAAAGTAGTAACAAACTGCTAATGATTTTGCCTTCTACAGAGCACTTAGTTATGATACTTCTCTTACCAAACTACAGTTATTTGCTAGTTTTTAAACAAACAGAAGTGTATGTACAAGCTGTTAGTTGTAACTTCACTTCTAAGGTTAAAGATAGAATAATGTCCAGGAAAAAAAAAATGGAATGGCCAAAGGCAGCGTAGAAGTTAAAAGGTATCTAGGTATGACAACGAAAGAAGCCTATGCATCAACATTTTTACTTCCCACCAGTAATTCTGCCTCAAGAGAGCTGAAGATAGTCAAACTGGAGCCCCTATTTCCCTACACAATTCATTGTTGATACATATATTATACACACACATACATGTATCATGTTGATACATAAATACTTACCAAAATATGGATTCCCCTCCACGGCCAGTTCCCATGGGGTCCCCAGTTTGTATAATAAAATCCCTCTGTCACAAAGCAGAATACGTTAGCTATTGCTTTCGTGTTTGTGATTTTAAACCAACGACAAAAAAAAGGAATTGAGAATCCTCACCTGTACATTATAAATAAGACAATAGTTGTAGTACTTGACTTTGCAGAGCTTCAGGAAATTCAGACAAGCTGTAAAAAATCATACCAACATTTACTAAAGGAAACTCCAGATACAGGAAGAGTAGATATAACAGATATTCAGTTTAACGTGTAGAAAAGTGTTTTTGGAGCAGATTGTGTCGAGACTTATCAGAGTATAACCTATAAACGCTGAAATACTCTAAGGAGAGGTAGCATTTCCTCCCTTCCTACAGCCCATCTCTAGCGATTCGAAGAATTCTAAACACGGCTAGTTATACAGAAACACACTTGATTTTCCCTCCCGTTTCTTTTCAAACACCTAAGAAAGAACATCACAGCAGCACTTTGATTTGGAATATATTACATTTGTGGCCGCAAGCGCCGCCCGGATCCCCCGCCCGGATCCCCCGCCCGCCCCAGGGGCGCCCAGCCCGGCCGCTATCCCGCTCGGGGCCGCCACCTGCCCGCGTAGGGGGAACGCGGTACCAGCAGGGGACAGGGGCCAGCCCGGTCCCGGTGGCGGACAGGGGCGGACCCACACCCGGTGGGGCCGGCTCGTACCGCGGGGCCGCTCCTCCGTGTACAGGTCGATGACCAGGTCGCCCACCGTGGTCTCCAGCAGCACCGCCATGGCCGCCGCCCCGCCCCCTCCCGCGCGGCGGCCCGGCTGGCGCGCCCTCTGCCGGCGCGGAGGCCCCCGCGGGCCGTCAGGGGCGGGAAGGGCTGTCCCGGGGCTCTGAGGGCGCAGGTGTCGGAAAACGTGGAATGTGCCGATCTTAAGGCAGGATGTACGATGTAAGATCCTTGTGTAGCTTCACACAGAATCACAGAATCACGGAATGAATTGGGTTGGAAAAAGCCTCTGAGATCATCGAGTCCAACCTATGAACGAACACGACCTTGTCAACCAGACCATGGCACTGAGTGCCACATCCAGTCTTTCCTTAAACACCTCCAGGGACGGTGATTCCACCACCTCCCTGTGGGCACTTCATTCCAGTGTCTAATCACCCTTTCTGTGAAGAAATTCTTCCCAATCTCCAACCAAAACCTCCCCTGGCGCAGCTTGAAGCCATGTCCTCTCATCCTGTCATTGGTTGCTTGGGAGAAGAGGCCGATCCCCACCTGGCTACAATCTCCTTTCAAGTGGTTGTAGAGAGCGATGAGGTCACCCCTAAGCAGCCTCTTCTCCAAGCTAAACAACCCCAGCTCCCTCAGCCTCTCCTCACAGGACTCGTGCACCAGATCCTTCACCTTTGTCGCCCTTCTCTGGACTCTCTCTTTTAAGCCTAATCAGCAAGAAAGGAGACCTAATCAGTGGAACAGACAGCAGTCAGCATCCCTTAGCCAAGGACATCCTAGAACCAACAAGCTTTCAGGATGTAATGAATCAAGATATTGATGCCTCTCTATATATACACTGCTAACTTGGCAAAAGACTCAAAGTCCATCTATCCTATAGCTGAACTATGCTAATTATAATACTAAAAAATCACAGCCGTAGGTCAAAAAGACCCCTGCTCATGTGAAGACCCTTCCCTTGAGCACATGTAGAAGTTGGCTGGGATTACACAGCTTGTATGGAAATTATGGTCAAAGGTTGGACTCGATGATCTTGAAAGTCTTTTCCAACCTTAACAATTCTAGGATTCCCCCTCGTCAACCCCTAGGAGCAACCTCTTACAGCAAAGTGCACGTTTGGAGGTACATCACTCAACTTTTGAGTGTGGTGTGCACTGAGGGGGTTGTGTGCTTATTCTACATAGTCAAAACCAGTTTTACCTCACAGATATTAATTAGAGCAATTAACAGTCCCAATATTTAACTTGAGTACATGGTCACAATATGACCTATAGTACTGTGGGTGACTCTGAAAGAACAGACAAGTAAACAGAATTTATTCCCTTCCAATGTGTTTTTGGGCTTATGTGTTACAGCTGAACTCAATCTAAAGGATCGTTGCCTTCAAAACAAGGCATCCCACTCCCCAGCACAGAGAGCTTCTGCTTCAAACTGCACTGTCTTCACCTCTTTCTAGATCGTGCTCTGGTACTCACCACACAATGAGTTGATCCAAGTCATTAATGTGTTGGGAAACTGGTTTTGTTTATTGCTGAATTTGTTTTCTGCCAGCTTAGTGACCTGAATTGATTCACTGAGCAGGAATGCACAGTACAGAGTACAGAGGTGCATGTAAATTGGTAAGAGCAGGACCTCCTCTTCAAGTAGCAATAAAAGTAACAGCAGATCTAACAGCACCCTTATAAACAGCCAAGCAGGGAGTTTACTTTGCAGGCCTATACTGCTGCATAATGGTCCTGGAGACATAGTGGGCTGGTCCTGGGGCCAAGACATGCACTGCAGGGCATTGTATTCTGCCTCCATATTGTGCTAGTTTTCAAAGCTGTTTGTGCTATCATCAATTGTTTTGCAGTGTTGTACTGTTTTTGTGAGCTTATTCCCAGTCTCCATGTCAATCTGGAATTGATTCAAGGCTGTTTTAAAACCACCTGTATGGCACTTATCGACAGAAGAAAGCACTATAGCACACATTACATTTATTACTCTAAAACTTTAAGAGAGATGTAAACAGTACATTAGTCTCATGCAAGCCTCTGCTGCGTGAAATTTAACTAACTTGCTACTTTAGGTACTCTTACTTTGCACTTCAGTAAGAAAGCATACCACTAAGGCCAGGCTTTTATCACTCTTTTTAGTCACAAAAGACATTAAATCCTAATTTCCTTATTCTTTATACTGGCTTTTGCCTCCTAATAACCTATGTCTATAAAGAAGATTCAAACTAAAAATGGCTTTTCAGGATCACTTAAAAAAAGTAAAAAATGTGACTTTCCAACTTAAATATAAATCCAGCGAAATATAGTACTTCTGGCACACTCAGCAGCTCGAGCAGCAGTCAGTCTCAGCACCACAAACTTTAAAATGTTACATATTCTAATAGTTACAAATGTCATGACATGTTCACCGGCGCACTGAAGGAGCCTAGAAGCTTTGGGGCTGAGCCAAAAGGAAAAGCCCTGTTATGCTCCCAGCCTGTTCCAGCACCGAGTACTTCCTGTATCACCCAAGGACTATTCACTTGTGAAGCTGATCATAAGTTACTTATTGCAAGACATTTTACCATTTAGGTTAAATAAAACTGTTATGACCTCTGTTGTGCTGTGAGACTAATAAAAGCTTTGAAATTTGGGGAAAACAGAAGTATCTTGAAAGCATTTTTAGTACGTGGTTTTTCAAGTTTTAATTAAGTTCCGGGAGAATAAAAAGTAAATAAGAAGGAGAACTGAAGAAAAGGGGATGCAAGAGATTGAGAGAAAAAGGAAAGAATGATGGAAACAGAAGGAAAGCATTAATAGGTAGTTTACCAGGAACCATACAAATGAAGACAGTAAAAAATGAGCAGGCATTCATCTACTATTCCATTTCAGTGAGATGCTAAATTCCTCAAGGTCAGCTGAGAGCCCAGCCGGAATTTTGCCAAATCTATAAATTCTGCAGACCAGTGATCCTTGCTTCCCTCTATTTTTATGTACCCTGATAACTTTATTATGCCTCTGGTACATTTTGTAAACATTTTAGTTAATTAATCTAATACACAAAACACTGTAATATTGTCCTGTTGGAAGACAACCCCACTCTGATTTATACAGAGTGCAACTCATAGTTAGGAATTTCGGTAATTTAAACTTCCTCCCACCAGCACATGCAAATGACTGCAAGTACTGACAAGAGCTGGATTCTGGCACCCATCATATCCCTGAAATCACTCATGCACCCGTCATAAGATTCAGCAAAACGCTGCCTTGGAGAGCTGACTTACCCCCTAGTTTCCTGCCTCATGAGAACTGCACAGTGAACAAATCCGTTACGTATTTCTTTCGGTTTACCAAACACAGCAGATTTAAAAAAAAAAAAAAAAGAAAAAAAGTCTTAAGGACAGGCCTAAGAGAAACTAGGTAAACCAGGTGATGGTGGTAAAGAGAGGTGGTGGAAATTAAGACATCTGAGTTTTTATTCCTTCTTCTGTTACTGACTTTTGTGATTATTACAAAGGCAGTTAATCAGCTTCGTTTTTTTCCAGTCTCTAAAACAGTACTAACTGCTGATAATAGAGGTGTTTAGGGATTAAATATCTGAGGTTTTCATGTAATTGTGTGAAATATACTTCACAATATATGACTCTCTAAAGCCTCATTTTCCAATACCTTGTACCTTGTGCCAGATGTTTATACCAGTGTCTCGTGAATGCAAACTGCATATAAACTGCATACTACGTTTCTGTGGGGTTTATGGTTTATATTAATTTTCAACAAATTGGGAGTCACAGATTGCTTCCACAGGACACCTAATTTATTGCTGTATTAAAACCTCCCTAGACAAGGTGTTAATATATTTACTACCCTTACCATTGGGAATTTTTTTGCTAATAGGTAACAGCAATCTTTCTTGTTGCAAATAAAGCACTTCTTATCTTCATATCCACTGGGGACTTGGAGATCCAGCTAGTTTCCTTTGTTTTCGCCTAAGACTTCAATGGCTTTGACTCCCACCACTAAGTTTCCCCGCCGTTTTCTCTTCTTTAGAATGACCTCTAGCTCTTTCAGACTTTATCTTGTGCCTTATTCCTTTCCGATGACCCTTTTTGCTCCCTCCCGGAGTATGCTGCCCTCCTTCTGCCCTCAAGAAACCCCCCTTGCAGTGCAGTGCTCCAGTGCTCAGCCCGGTCCCACTCCGGCCGTACAGCCCTCGCAGGTGGACAATTGCAGGCGCCCCACGGGAGCCTCACGACGCACGCCGGCCATTTCAGAAACAGCTGTAATTATTAACAGTCTCTATAGTGGTAGCTCTCTTATTATGCAAAGTGCTTTCAAAGGCTGCTATCGCCTATTAACAGTGACGGGCTCTTGTAGGCGGGGGTCCGTGCCCGCCCCTTACTCTGCAACGCCGAACTCGGGATCTCCCAGCGGCGGCGGTGCCGGGTCAGGGCCAGCGCAGGGGCAAGGGACAGTGACAGTGGCAGGGGCAGGGCCGGGGCAGGACCGGCCCCCTCCTACCGCCTCCCCGGCTTCCTCCCGGCCCCGCCTGTTGATGTTTCACTTTGTTTTAATTCCCGGGTCGCAAGATGGAGGCGGCGCTGAGACGTCGGGAGTTGTTGCTGTTGCTGCTGTCGCTGCCGCTGCTGCCGCCGCCGCTGGCCACCGCGCTGCTGGGCCCGGCCGCGCCGCTGGGACAGGTACCGCCGGGGCCACTCCCTGCCCCGTCCCTCTTCCTTCCCCTCTCCCTGTCCCTCTCCTTTCCCTTTTCCCTCTCCCTCCCCCTCTCCCTCTCCCTGTCCCTCTCCCTCTCCCTGTCCCTCTCCCTTCCCTTTTCCCTCTCCCTTCCCTTTTCCCTCTCCCTTCCCTTTTCCCTCTCCCTTCCCTTTTCCCTCTCCCTTCCCTTTTCCCTCTCCCTTCCTTTTTCCCTCTCCCTGCCCCCGTCCCTCTCCTTCCCAGGGGTGAGCCAGACGCTGCCGTGGGGCGACAAAGTTCGCCCCCCTCCTTTTAATGGTTCCTTTGTGTAGGATTTGGTGTGCCGAGACAAATAGCTGACAGGTCGAGGAGGGAGATAGTTACTTCTGTGCA